CCTGCTGAAGTCAGTGAAACTGTCCATATGAGCCCTCACACAGTCCAGGGCAGAGCAAGTCTTTTATTGTTTTTTTAGACTTTGTGACTTTGCGTTATGATTTCTGGTTAATAAAGGGTTCTTTTTGTTTTGTGACTTGTTGTCTAGCAGAAGCTGAGGTAGAATCAGTCATTTTCCTTTGGCCAAGTCTGTTGCCTGAAGCAGCATGGAAGAGATTACTAACTGGGATCCTTTACTGGGCACTGACAGCGCCTCCGAGGCCTGGTTGGGGACCACTGTCTGTTCCCTAAGTCTGTAGTTCAGCACTAGGAGTACAAACTTGATAACGACCACATGTGACAACACAGTCACGTTTCTCCTAGATACACAAGAGTGTAAAGAAAGGTATTTATACCACTTACACATCTGTGTGTGGGGCCAGTCAGACTGTAACTTAGGATACAGAATTCCAAATGCTGAGATTTAAGAAAAAATAAATTCATTCACATGTAGTCAAACTAGTTTTTGGAGTATGTATCCTTTCAACAGGGCATAGAAAATTCCCCTGTATAGTTTTGAAAAGCTAAGGACTATTAATTTAAAAAAAGAGACTGAAGTAGTTGATGTTCTTGATGTTTTCAGATGTTTTTTTTTTTAAAAAGAAAACCTTCCAAAAGAAGTTAGTCTGTAAGGTATTTAGTCTACTAAGTAGAGCGTTTGAAAACAAGAAATAACACATGGATCTTTAACAATGTAATTAGGACCAGATTTTTAAGTAGCTGTAAGAAATCCAAGGGAGTGGATAGTGTGATTTTTAGGTTTTTTTTCCGTAAGCTCTTATACATCTGGTTCCAGCTGGGCCACACCTAAGTCCTTATACTTCAGTTGGTGTAATAGCAATTTATCTCTCAGTTTACAGGATAAATTTATATTCTGGCCAAAGGTGTATGTGAAATCAGACTGCATGATCTCTCTGACTGCTTTCACCTTGAAAGTGTGAATCTGTAATTTTTACCTGCCTATATAACAACTTGAGTTTTGACTGTTTGGATTTTTTAAGTGTGTTTTCAAGAATCTGGCATTTGACTTGCATCCTCTTACCATGCCTGTCCTCAAACTACCACTGCTGCCCTTTGAAGGAGAAAAGGCAGAAGCAGCAAAGGAAGAGAGAAGCTTTTACCCTTTAAATCAAGTTCTCCTCATGAAAACCAAATAGATAATCTCAGCTCTATTTCTTTTGGACATCAGGTTAATTAACTAGTTTTGTATATGTTGACAATGTAGGCAAGAGAAAATAAGCGTATATGGGTTATTGATTTCTGGTCTTCAGCTGCAGTGCTAGCTATATAAATGCTGAGGTGTGAGGTACTTCCACAGTACGTGGAAGGGTAAGTAAGCAAGATGGGCAGGCCAGCTGGTGTTTGACAGTGCCCTGGTGGAGTGTAGTGAAGGAGAAATGTTTGCGCAGTTGGCATAGATTTGGGCTGACCTGTGACTGTGACTTTGGAGAGTAATGTCTGTCTGTTCCTAGTAGAGGTATACACCCTGTCCTAATTTGGATGTAACAGTGATGGGCCACATGACTCACTGGTCAAAAGTCATCTGCAGCTTGTGCTGGGGTTGATTTTGCCAATTTTGCCAAGCGGGGAGGTCTCATCCTGTTGCCCGTCTCACCATACGTGGCCGGTTTTCTGGCTAGGGAACTGAAGCAGAAATTGGGATGCGCTCCTCTGTGGGAGCGGCCGTGCATTTCACACAGCCTGTCGGGGGGGGGCTTAATATTTCCAGTACCTATGATGCCACTTCCATTATTTTTAAAAACAAAAAGGTTGAATTTCATACAGTAAGTTTGATAGCAAAGATGGCTTAGTCCATAATCTTATCAGGAAAGGCAGAGCAAATACTTTGGTCTTTTAACTTCAGAAAGCTGCAGGTCTCCAAGACGGAGTGTTTGATGTATTTACTACTCAGTTGTTAGAATCCCAGTGCTTCATTTGTCCTCAGGTATTGTCAAGGAAGAAAAAGGAAGTCCAGTAGAAATTGGCTTGAGCTCCTCAAAATACAAATGATTTACTGGTTAATTTAACTGACTTTTTTTTCAATATTTTTAAAACCTTCATCCCACTATATTTTCAGCATATATGGACTAAATTCCAAATAAGATAAGTCACTAGTAAATTAATTGTTCCTTGTTTCTGGACACCATAGATGTGAATGATTTCAGTGGCTTTGTGATTTCTTTTGTAGGTTGACAGGCTTGAAGCCAAGGTTGTTGAACCTCTGAAATGTTATGGGAACATAGTGAAACTTAAAAGGGTAAGTTAAACATCTGTTTTCTCACAGAGTACATTTTGGTGTTCAGACCACTTGATTGAAAACTTCTCTCTACAGTGGGGAGTGGTTATGATTTTTCATACTGAGGTAGTCAGTGTAACTAAATTATATAGTAATACATTTGAATTGAAGCTGTATGTGTGTTGGAGGAAGAAGCTTTCATTTGAAGACAAGGATACTCAGACTACTGGAGCACAAGCAAATGCTAAAAAAAGGCATTGTGGATAGTGTGAAACTTCCTGGATAGTGCAAATTTGGGATGTTTTTCTTTATAAATAATGCCATTCTTTTTATTGTTGTTATTCAGAGTTCCAAAAGGTGATTTACATTAAATGCTTTTGGCGCTTAGTCATCTGTATGCTGCCTTGAACAGCTATTCTAACTCAGAATTGTGTTCTACATTGAAGTTCACAATGTAGAAGATGGTTTTTGAAACTGATAAATGGGTAGTAGTCTGAATCTCTCTCTGTCTTGCAAAGTCATTAGGATGACCTGAAGATACACAAAAAACTGAGGTCTTGTCATTCACTGTATTCTACAAACGGTATATATAAGGGTTTGAAATATCCCCACAAAATACCTGTGAATTTCTTTCCTCCAGGAGGGGTAAGTTTGAGCCAACAATTTTTCATAAGCAGATATTACTTTATGAGATGAAAGTAGTTCTTCATATATCTTACATAGAGGATACCTTCATACTGTAAACTCAAATCTGTCATTTTTGTGTATACCTGTATCATAGCTATATAAATCAAAAAGGTAAATTGATCATCATTTGATGGTATTTTACATACAAAAATCTTAACACTGTGTCTTTCATGGTTAATTTGAATACATTGTGGCATTGCATCTCAAACTAGCGTTTTTTGTATGGTTTTGTTCTTGTATCTTTTCAATACAGTGAGGAACTGAGTACAGGGCTTGGAAGTTAACCACACAGCTGTCTCACTTGCTTGTTAGAGAAACAGTTACAAAGGAAATGCATCCTGCCCTTGAGTGGTACTACGTGTGGTAGTCCTTAGCAGAGCTGTAGACTGTGGCGCCCGTATCCTAGAATTTGACATCTTAATAGTCACTCTGAAACCCAGTTTGTGAGACCTAGAACTGACTGAGTATTCTACAGGATGTGAATGTTGAGGGTGGAAGACAACTTTCATGTTTGTGTCTGTAGGGTTGCTGAGGAAACACAGAGCACAACAGCAGTGCTTGGGACTTCCACAGCACTGGAGATACTTCCTTGAGGTGCGTTGCCACTGATAGCCAGTAAATGCTGAGGACAGAAGTAAGCCAGGTCTTCCCTTGCAACAGTGAATGGCATTTCCTGTTGTCTTTGCCTTTCCAAATGCCAGATAGCATTGCATAATGTTTATCTTGGCTACAGTGAGGAGTACAAGCCCTCAGCAAGTTTGCTGATGATACCAAGCTGGGAGGTGCTGTTGATGTGCCAGAGGGTTGGGTGCCATCCAGAGGGATCTGGACAGGGTAGAGAGGTGGGCTCAGGTGAACCTCATGAGGCTAAACAAGACCAAGGGCAGGATCCTGTACCTGGGCCAGGGCAACCAGCAATTACCAATACAGGCTGGGAGAGGACA